AACGCATCCTTGAGAAAAATTGAAACTCCAATATTACTGAGCTTGAAGAAGACGTTTGAGTGTGTTGCTGTGGACAAAAGAAGAAGACGTTATTCCAATCCTCAATGAAGAAAAACAATGAACGAAGAAAATGAAGAGATGCTTAAATGAAAGGTTGGTTTCGGGTTAAGATTGATCGGAAGAAAATGTGGAGATGCGAAAGGGGCTAGGTGTGGTGATGCGTTGAGGCAAAATATGAATCGTATATGAGAACTGAAACAAAGAATTGTTTCTGGTGAACTGAAACGTATGTAACATTGTAACCGTTGAAAAGTAATAAATGGGGAGAGAAGCGGGAAAATGTTAGGGATATAGGATAGATTTTGCTTTTAGGTATATAGGATTCTACTTTATGCTTGTTAACTTTGTGCTCCGCCTTTTCCTCTCATCTACTGCCACTTGTTTTTACCATTTCTTTTCCTTTAAGAGATGCACTCGTTACACTGATGAATCTCAATAGTACAACAATATTATGTATGGAAACATTTAATATAAATAGCACAACCTGTTTTGCATGCTTAGTTTTTTTTTTTTAATTTTTTGATCTCCTTACAAAGTCTCGGGCCTTTTTGTTAAGATACCATAACTCACAGCATGACACATAACTAAATACGTAGTAGCTTGTTAGAAAACCACAAGCCCAGTTCGTCATAGGTGTGAAATTTGGAACAAGTGACCCATTATCGAGTCCGGCAAGCGACAGTGAGAGCAACCTTTCAATGTTAGGGGGACTCCTTACGCGCAACGAGCACAGGTCTAGCGTATGAGCTCAAATGAGTCACCATGATTTACAACCTTTCATATGCTATGTGGGGCCAGAGTGTGAGGGGCCTTTGGGGTTGGAGATTCAACCTTTGGAAACAAGCTTGTTGGAAAACAACTCTTTTGAAAAACAGTAACTGCAAGAAAATATTTTTAGATTAATAAAAAAAATGGAGTGAAGTAAGCTATGTTTTGTGTATCAATGGCTAAAATAAAGATCTCATTGTTAAAGTAACTTTAATACATGTTTCAATTATTTTAAAAATGAAATTTTAATGTTAGCACTTGGATCTTTTTAAGAAAAAAATTGAAACTGAAAATACCTCCTACTGTTAAAACTTCAAAATTTTTTCAAATTTTATATATGTCATATTGCTGTCATATGAAAGATCATAAAAAATTATGAATTTTGATACTCCGTATATTTTCTGTAAAAAATAGTACAAATTAATAAGTTACAACATTTCAAAAAACAATGGAAATTACGGAGTAATATTTTGTAAGCCCCACCCACCCCCTTACCCATGCCCCCCATCCCTTGTTTTCTTTTTCATTCGGAATTTGGCATTCTGAATCCCGTGTTTTGGTACAACAATCTAAACTCTCGAATTTTTGCTTGTCAGATAAAAAGTCTCGTCTTTAGGGAATTTCCAAGAGTAGTTAGTATAAAGAGTCATACATTGGAAAAAGAGAAACATGAATTCATAATACCACTAATTAGACTAACTAATCAATTGGATTAATTCAATTTTTTAATATGATTTTACCTAAATGCATAATGACCTTTTGATTTGATTATGAATTTTGTCATTTCCAGAACTGAGTTTTACTTTGCAGCCGAGCATCGAATTTTGGGTTGGTGAAAGTTGACTGATGGGAAAAAGTAGTAGAGCTTTCTCATAAACTCAAGAGAGCTGATCCAAATGTCATGGTACGGAAATTTGTCCATATTATCCTGCTTAAAGACTTAATACTTCTATGTCGTTAGTAGTTCTTTATGTTTCTATGGCAGAAAGTAGACACTACACTTGGGATAGTTACATGATGAAGCCAGATTAATCCCCTATTATGTAGCTTCAGTGCAGATTTTTATCTTTTAGTGTAAATGTCTCTTTGAGGTTATTGAAGTGTAAATATCCCACATCCAACAATGCTTTTGTATCTGAACTTCTGTGATGGTTAATAGCTTTTGTTTCCTTATTGCTTTATAGTCCCTTTTTTATATTATTAGCTTGATAAAGCTATCTTTACAATCTTATGTTTTCAAAGACTACCGGAAGGACAATGTGACATTTAAATCATTCTATGATGCTAACATGGCCCTAACTGAACTGGTCTTTGTTACATATTCTTTTCTGCACTATCACACTCAAATTTTGTGATATTACTAAGCAGGCATTAACCAGGTTGTGCTATAAACTCCAGTTTAGCAAATATGTTGAGATTAAATTATAAAAGACATAATCATGTGGTAGATTCATAAAAAATAATTTGATGTATGATTTCACATGACATATAATCGAAAAGATAGACCACTGACATCATTTAAATGTACATGTTGATTGTTTGCTATTTTGATTGTGATGTCTGAGATAACCTTATTCTATAGTGGTTTTTCGAATTATATCTTTTAGTAGATTACTTGTATAGACTTCTCTCATGCAAGTGAGAAGTAATAGTAAACAAAAACTCTAGCATTGTTTCTTGAGAAAAAATCAATTTTTATTTCACTCTTAGTAGTTGCAGATGTTGTAAAAATACTCTAAGTCTAGTTCATTCTTAGCAATTGTAAAGAAGAATGAGAATATTGTATGTGGTGATGTTTATTTGATGCTCATGTGGATTCTATTCCACATGAGCATAGAATAAGGAGAGGGAAAACCGCTGGAATGAAAGCAAGAGACTGAAATATCGCCATTGATGGAAGGCCTACCTATGATGAAGAAGCATTATGATATGTGTGTTCAATTGGAGAAGTTTTCCTAACTTGCTATTATGTTACTGACAAAGAAGTGTTATGTTAATTTGTCAATAGGGGTAGGATTCTTGGGGAAAAAAATCAGGATTTATACTCAGTCAATTCAGGATTTATACTCCGTCAATTTAACTAAGAGGAGAACTAAATTAGCACAATCCATCAATTTTTAGTTACTTAAGTTTGTTATCTCATGTAATCATTGTAATGCACGAGTGATATCATAATTAATAGCACAACAATTAACTAAGGGTATGTTTAAAATAACTAGTGATATCATTGAAAACATATTCTTATAAGCTTTTTATTAATTGTTTGCTTTTAGTGATTGAAAAAATTTTAAATTGAAAACAATGGTAGTTGTTTGATAAAAACTGGACTGTTTGATTTAGTTCTATTTAATATACAAGTTGTTAAGACTCATTGATTTAAAAGCTACATACTTTTCTCAGATTGTACTCACTGTAACATCAGAAAAAAAAGATTTTTTTATTTTTAAAAAACCTCTTAAAATTTGTTATGCCTACCAAAAAGACATACGGAGTGTTATGTAACTGGTAACATATCACCTTTTCTCTATTAGACTTTTACCGAGTACTTAACTCAGTTACTTGGTCTTTTTTTTTTGGGGGGGGGGGGGGGGGGTTCCTTGATCTCACAGCATAAGAATTCGGAAAGGGGTTAAAATGATATAGGAACCACAGACAACCGTTAGCTCTCGAACCAGACTCAGAGTTAATCGCCTTCAAACAAGCAATATAACTCGTTGATCCATTAATGGGCATACTTGAGCCAAAGACGATTGAAGTACACCTACCATCACCCAATCTTAATACAAGAGTCTTACAATCCAAACGCAAAAAAAAACACAAGAGTAAACAGTCTGATTAAACAAAATAAAAACTAGATAAGCACAGGAAAAATAAATTCCTCTCCAACGTCAAATGCACCACTAAAATCCGTCCACACGAATCATCCAGCATTTTCAGGCAATCCGGCGGATCTACTAGCTGATACCCACCTCCTCCCCATTTTTTGCTTGTCCAGAGCCATATCCTCACCTGCTGATTCCTCGTGTTCCTTCTCCTCTCAGATTCTTCTGCGCTTTTGTTCACCCGACATCTCTTCCGGGTTCACCGAATTCGCTTTCTTAATAGAGCTAGTCCTTGTCCCTATAGTAGCCTCCTTCCAACCCTGTCATCCTGTTTCCTAACTGTCCCCCTTGTGCAATCCACTCATGCCAGTACTCGAAGACCCTTCAACCAGCCACTTGTTTCCCCCTGTGGGACTAGTCTTCACCCCACCCCAGCTCTAAGCTGAACTCCATAGGTTTTATCAAAAGTGATGATATCTCCCTCATAAATTATGGGGCAAAACTTATCAGAATGTCCAATGATCCCACAAATAAAGCAAAATTAAGGGAATTTTTCACACTTAAAATCCACCCACTTACTAATGCCCCATTTTTCAATGTTGTTCCTTTTTTAGGAGGTCTCCTTATATCGATACGAACCCTAATACGCATATATGCTTTCCATTTTTCATTAAACTGACTCTCGTCAAAACTAATGAAACTTCTAATATAGTTACCAATTCTCCTAACAGAACCTATATTCATGAAACCATACGCAACATTATGAATCTGAACCCAAAATTTAGCCTCAAATAGACCGATCGGAAGAGGAATAACCTCTGCCTTAATCTTTTTCGGGATCAGCAAATTACGTTCAAACAACCATGGACCTTCATCTAGCACACGTCTCATATCAAAATTATGATAAAAAGTAAAAATGTATCTTTTCTCTCCAATTTCCTTTATTGACACACCTTTGAATGGTCGCCAAAAAGATGCCATCAGCTCTTTAAGAAACTGAAATTTTATCTTCCGATCTGTGAGCACCATACCGACCATTGGGAAAACTGTCTTCCCATCTTTAACCGTCTGCCCTTGTTCCTAGGCGGCAGCCGCTCCTCGGTGAGACCGACAACGGAGATATACAATCCTAGCGAAGGACGCCCTAGATAGAAGTCAGTTTTTTTACCCAGCTAACTGGTTAAAGAAAATAGTAAGATATGTTTAAATTTAAATACAACTGAAATGGCTTGTTTTAAATTTACTTTTTTCTTTGAAATGGTTTAAAATTTAATTTAAGAAAATGGTAAAAGTAAACGAATTTCTTCTTGTATGACTTTCCTAAAATTAAACCTTTTCCCATAAGAATTCGATTCTTGCCAAGTATCGCATGGCTAATCTGATAGGGACTCGGCCCATTTGGCGTTCGAAGGCATAACGTCAACCATAAACTCGCAAGAGAACCGCACTCACACGCCATATAGACCCGTATATAACCTCTAGAAACCTTATCACCAGTAGATCTGATCTCGCCTAGGGTTTGCTCTGTTCTTCCCTCTTTGAATCCCACTCGCTCAAGTAATCGAATTAGGGTTGGAGGTTTCGTAGCTCGAAGTCACCATGCCGAAGAATAAGGGAAAGGGAGGTAAGAACAGGAAGAGAGGAAAGAACGAGGCCGACGACGAGAAAAGAGAGCTCGTATTTAAAGAGGACGGCCAGGAGTACGCGCAGGTCGCTCGTATGCTGGGTAATGGCCGCTGTGAGGCCGTGTGCATCGACGGGCAAAAGCGTCTCTGCCACATCCGCGGCAAGATGCACAAGAAAGTCTGGATCGCCGCCGGTGACATCATCCTCGTCGGTCTTCGTGACTATCAGGCAAGTCCCAAATTTTGTTAATTCCGTTTATTTGTATTTTGATCTCATCCTTCTTTCAGTGGAAAAAATTGTGCCTTTTAAACATTTACTGCTTGGCTGTTATGTGTGCTTTTTTCAATTTTTAGTTTTTTGCAATTTTGTTCAAGAGCAAGAATAAACATATAAGAAGAGTGAGCACACATATATGCTGAGCACAACATCTCCAAGTTTGTTTAGCTGCTCTTCACATTATGATCATAGTGATTAGTGATATACTGATATGTGCCCTTTTCGCATCAAAACGTCTACTTTTTTTGTGTGAATTCTTATACTCCGTACATAATTGTTGTTTAATGAACTATTTCTGGTAATCCGTGTATTTCGTTGGTATGGAGTATGGACTGCTTTGTGTTCTACTCTTAATAATAAATTCTTGCATCGTTTTCAATATCTTGATTCTTTTAGATTTCTATTTTTAAGTTCATTATGCCAATTGTGTGATTACATATTCTATTTTCAGTTAAGAGGTGTTTTACTACCACCCTGAATATCAGTCAAGATCTTAAGCTCATTGAGGCTTTTTGTGGTTACCAAGGGAAATTATTTTCATATGTTTGGGTTTCTGTATTATTTGCTGTCACTTCTTACAATAGGACTTGTGTTTGTCTTAGTCCAGTCGTAAAAAATGAGTTTTTTTGGCCCTAAGTTTTTCCGGATAAAGTAAGGCCTTAATAAATCTGTGCCTCATCTAAAAATTCTTATATTGCGCCATAATATGGCACACATAGCGCTAGGCGCTAGCGATGACGAAGGCGCACATCTGGTGACGCCATAAGTATCATCAACGCCACAAGCAGGTTCTTTTCTAAGGTCACCTAACACACCTATGGTGAGATATGGCGATCGCCATTTGCACCATCGACTACCATGAGTGTAAGGGTTAATGAACATGATAATACTTTTAATTATTATGTTTATCTCAATTGCTTGGTTTGATAATCGACATTTTTAAATAATAAATAATGAATGCAATATGACACGATAAACTTGTTGAGTTTGAATTAGTATTTTAGTTTCCTTCATGTTTCTTTCTTTCAATAGATTGCTTGTAGTATCTCACATCTTTTATGTCCTTTGCAGTATCCACATTCCAAATTGAGCCCGAATATTATTTCCATTTTATGTTGTTGGTGCAAAATATCTTGCTGTTTTAAGATTTAGCAACATTTGAACATTAGTGAGTTGGCATCTTATCTTATTTTATCTAAACTGGAACAAGATTAGTTGGATTTTAATCACACCTTATTAAAAAAGTTATAGAGATTGTTGTTATCAATAGCTCAATGTCAATTAATTAGTGTATATTGGAATCTGAAAATAACTTTGCTGTACGACTACTACTCTGTAACATCTTATATTTGAAGCAAATAATGGAATTGGCAATGCAATATACTAATCATTAGGTCCCTTTGTGGATGATGTGAAAATATTGGCTTAACTCCAAGGATATTGTGATGAATGTGCAGGATGACAAGGCTGATGTGATTCTCAAGTATATGCCGGACGAGGCGAGGTTGCTAAAAGCATATGGAGAGTTGCCTGACAACATTAGGCTGAGTGAAGGTGTTACCAATTTGGAAGAAGATGAAGAGGGTGGTGGTGGTGAAGATTACATTGAGTTTGAGGATGAAGACATCGACAAGATCTAAACTTTGCAGTTACAGTTGATACCTCTGTTTTTCTTTCACAATCATATTTATATTATTATGTGAGCGAATAGAAGAGAGAGACCTTATTATGTGTTGTAATCTTTTGTGCATTGGTATATGTACAAAATTTATGCTTGGGCAGACTAACCACAATAAAATTTTATCTTTATTCAAAATGTTATCACTGCGTCTTTGTTTCTATATCATCAATGGCAACTGGCATTAATCAATCAGAATGAGCTGACAGTTTGTAAGTTGTAATAGCAAGGATTAGGGATTCAAGACTGGAAATTGAATCAATCAGAAAAACAAATGTATCTTGTGTTGCCGTCCTTTTTTGTTCTCAAAATTACATAGAGTATCAGGTATGATTTTGTCTCAGAACTCAGAAGTGATGATTTAAGAAATGTCTATAATAAAGTTACTATTATAGACATTATTATAAATAACCTTATATTTTAGTCCTATATATGTAATTATTTCAAGAAATAACTAACATATTTATGAGTAAAATAGATGTTGTTTGCAAACAAGTGACCCCTTAAATTTAATGTGTAGTAGTAACTTTAGTTATAATCAAGGTTGTTAAAATCGCATTTTTGAATTGAATCGGTAGATGTTTTTGAAAATCGAATCGTAAAATCGAATCACAAATCGTAAGTTGCAAGTTAATGGTATTATATCATTTCATTACATAAAACTATACCTACAAGATCCAAAAGAAGACTTGTAAACTATTTTAACAATGTAAATGTAGTGATTAAATAACACAAGAATCCATTATTACTTTTTTTAAATATACTATTGATATTACTATTATTGTACTTATGTGTCAATTTGTAGTAGTTAATTTTAATAAATTTGAACCATTTTCACTAAAAAAAACTTATTACGATTTTGCTACGATTTTAAATGATTCTACGTGATTTAAATACGATTTTTTTACGATTTTGTACGATCCTTCTATACGCTACTCATTGTAATATCCTTCTGTAAACTTTCATCATCAATGCAATAGATGTTTCATCATTCTTAAGAGCTTCCATAGATTGTTGTACATAGAAAACATCGACCTAACATATGATATCAGAGTCGGTGTTGTGCTACTGATCGACATTGAAGGACTGGACTCGTGCGCTAACCATTCGCCCGTGTGCTAATCATCTTCCATTTTTGTTTTTATCATTTTTACAGGATGAAAAACTCCTATCACTCGTGCGCTAACCATTCGCGTACAAATTATCAGACTTTCAGACTTGAAGTTCTATTTAATGCATCGTTGCTATTTTTAAGAGCATAGTGTGGTGCGCAAAGCTGACCACGAACAAAAACTGCTCTGCGCAAAGTGAAACTTAGCGCATATCTCTTTGTATGCAAACCTCCTTTTGCGCATCATTGAGCCATGCGCTAACCTCATTTCGTGCATCATCCTCCGTGCGCAAACTTTGGATCACGCATCAGGTCATCATGCGCAAGCCCGGTTGGCGCATCATCGTTCCATGGAGCAAACCCATTTTCCGCATCAACCTGTTTTGTGCTAACTCCACTTAGCGCATCACCACAGTTTACGAACCAACACTTTGCAAAAACAACACAATCCTTTTGTCAATCAACTGCTCATCCCGATCAAACATGGATGCTCTATCAATCGAAAACAACACCAGACCACCCATTCTCCGCAGGGGTGAGTACGTGGTGTGGAAGAACAACTTTCAGAACTTCCTAGAAAGTAAAGATCATTCATCTGGCCTGTTGGACCCGACCACTAATGGTCCATCACATTGAAGGAAATCTCGAGAACAACCCCAAGTTGGAGACTCTCAAAGACTGAAGACTGAAACTGAATATGCCATGGTTGACAAAATGGTTGACACCTTGGCTCTAATGCTTGAAAGATCCTCTAAATGAGCTTCTAAGATTCGGAAAGAGAAGATGAAGGCTATTGCTCCGGAAAGTGATGAAAGTGAACACGAAGGTGAAGTTGACTCTGATGACGAACTCATGGACTTTCAAAAGCAGCTAGCACTCCTGACTTATAGGTTTAATAATCAAATCTTTAAGAAGAAGAAGAAGAAATTGTGTTCCAATAGGTTCCGCAAGTCCTCAACCAGCACCAACCGCAAAGAAAGACCATTTAACGCATCTGTGACATTGGATGGTGAGGATGCTCTTAAGTTCTTCAACTGTGGAAAGCTGGGACATCTCATAAAGGATTGCAGGTTTGCCAAAAGAAAGAAGGATGTTGATTACTACAAATAGAAAGTTCAATTGAACAAGAAAAAGCTACTGTTAGCCATGAAGGAAGACAACAACAAGAGTGCTTTGATCGCAAAGAAGGATCACTGGATGGATAACCGTCTGACGGAGGGTGAGAAAGAAGGTGAGAAAGAGCACGTAGCTGCAATTTCAGCAGAAGATAAGGGATCAGATGATGATGTAAGTACTTCAAACTCTTCTACTTCATCATTATGTTCTGCATCTGATTCTAATAATCTTATTAAGGAGCTTGAAGGGAGATTAGAACACATTCTCAGGTCCTAGTAAAACAGTTAGTGAAGGAATCTTTAATGAACGTCAAAATAACTCAGTCACAAGATATGATACAAAGCTAACCCTAGAAAACGAGAAACTAGGAGAGTGCGTTAATGACTTGACTAACAAACTTAGTAGCTCAGAGCTTGAGAGGAATGGACTACTTGTTGTGAACACAACTCTTTTAGCCACAAGGGATTTTCTTTACGCAAAAATATACGGATTAATTAAAAATTTACATCCTAATTAAGTAAATGAAATGAAACTGTTTGACTAAGAAAAGTCAATGTTGCAAATCAATTTGGGACGGATGTAGTATTTAATATATGTTTTATTAATAAAATAAATAAAAAAGTTATATGAAAAATAGTTAAAATGAACATCTACAGTAAATTCAGTCAGTTTAGCTCGAAAGTAAATTCAACTTTACTTATTCGATTTTTATACTATTAAAAGCTACATGCTTGACAGTATAAAAACGTTGATCGATAAGAATAATAAATTGAAAATATATGGTATCAAATCGATTCTCTAATGTTTATATGGTGTATGTAGAGTTTTACATATGTATCTGATGATGGAGCTAAGGAAGTCACTAATGTTTACATATATAAGCATCGTATTATCCTAAGGTATATGTTGGAGTTAATGGTGGAAAGATGACGAGGAATTTACATTTAGTCCTAATGTCTCATAAGATTCAGACATTCAGTGATGTTTAACTTGGAAGTAAAATAATAAAATAAAATTGTGTTTTCGATATTTGTGCAGTAAAGATGGAAACCACTTTAATCACATAAGTAGTACATATTTATGAGAGATATTACCCGAAATAGGACTAAAATAGGACTAATTACTGTCATGTTTTGGCAGTACCGGACTTCAAACATGGCAGTATTTTTCAAACTTGGCAGTAATTAGTCCTATTTTGAGAATAAAAATATGACACTCCTATTTTGGAATCTTCAATTTTTTTAGTCCTATTTCGGGAACTTTCCCTATTTATGACCTTAGTCATATTTGATTTTTCAGCATCTGTTAGACCTTGATAAATAAAATATTTATATAAGAAATATTTACAATATGAAAGTGATATGAAAATATTTTATGTTAAAAATACTATCATAAAAGTATAAAATTAATAATTTTCACCAAAATATAAGTGTCAAAATGATTAACAATAGTAAACCATAGGACGGAGATAGTATATGATTGCGGGCCCTGGATTTTTTATTCAAAGTTGCTCCGTGTACACATTATGTCCATGTGTGTGTGTGTACACACAAGATTGTACTGTTGGGAAAAACTCCGAATTTTCCCGCTTCGTGAAGTTAAGATAGACACTTAGGAATTAATGTAGCTTAGAAATCGGAGCACACAAGTATAATTCTCCAATTCGGAGATTTACAAGGATGTGTTTACATAATTGTCTCACTCTATGGTGGCTTACTCAAACTTGAAGATTGGAACTTCCCAAGCTAACTCTTTTTCCTCTCAAAGAGGCTCTATAATTCTATATCTTTCTCACTCGAAGTGGACTTCACTCCAAGAGGCCCCTACTCCTATTTCTACTACTCCACCTCTATAATGAATGGTGGAGAGTAGTTCTCCAGAATGCTCTACACATCTCTACATGTTTTAGAGAACTCCAAGGACACTTGTTTCTACAACTTCAAAGAGTGTCCAGGCCTCACTAATCCTCGTTATATGAACAAAGTCAATTGTGTTCAACTCTATGACGTTAGATACATGGGATTAGGGATGACCAAACTTATGGCTTTCACTGGAGTCGAAGAAATCAATGCCCTTAAGGATGACAATAAGAAAACCAAAGCGAGAACCGAAATTCGTTTTGACTATTCCGAACTGAACAAGAGTTACAAGAACCGTGAGATCCCTTTGACCCAAAATGAAGGGATTTTTCTTACCCACCTAACGGCTATATGTCCCCCAACCCCTATTTTTTTAAGATGCTCAACTAGCCATCGGGACCAAAACGGAGACCGGGACCGCCCGGTCTGGTCCCCAAAACGTATACCTAAGACCAGGTCCGCTGGTTAACCAGTCGGGTACACGGTCTTGATTCGAGACTGGAAAATGGATCCGGCCCGGTCTCAAACAGTACTGGACCGGGTCCACCCCAACCTTATCAAGTCAGTTTAGGTTTAAATTATACAAATCAGATTAGAATTTAAATACAAAAAATTAGATCAGACCAAATTTAAAAGTTGTAAAATACACATAGATCACACATCTACCATACCGCACCATTTCAGAACAATTCAGACGAGTCTAAAAAATTTTAATCCAATGAGAAAGATCCTTAGTCTCATGAGAATCAAAATATGCATAAGTTTTTCCAATTATTTCAATATTATCTATACTTTTGGGACATTCTCTGTATTATATGTTTTGGTTTCCTATTTTCGTATATAAAAATATATTTATTTTGAAAAAATTACATGTATATTTGTAATCGAGTTTCTCCGGACAAAAAAAATGATTACTTATGTTTTTTGGAAAAATATAATTGGTCACTGTGTATGAGTAACTGAACAAAGGTCACTATAGTGTAGGAGTAGTGTATTTCAGAGTGACAATTCACTTGTATATGATGAATCATTCGGAACTATTTACTGAATATGTCATTTTTTGGAAAATTTTAAAATAAGTCATATTTTTATTTGTTGAATTTAATTTAGTACTCACTATGTCCCAAATTGAGATGCAAAATTGATTTTTTTTAGTGAAACAGATTCATTTTATTCACCTAATTATGTTATCAATTTTTAATTGAATTTTAATTTAGACTTTGCAACTTTATAGATATATTGATGTAGTTTCTGAATATGTAAATTATAATTATTAAAATCGAATTAGTTATCAATAGGGAAGATTTAACTCTAATGATGTTATCTTTTGAAGTGTTTTGAGTTCCAAACCAGATCAGATTAGACCAGACATAAACAGACTCGACAAGACCAAACCAGATCAGACTTAAACAGACTAGACTAGATCACACTTAAATAGACCAGACAAGACTAGACTAGACTTGGACAATTATAAAATACACAGAGACCAGACATTTACTAGACCAGACCAACCTTGTTCAGACCAGACCAGACCAGATCAGATCAAACTTAAACAAATCAGACTATGCCATAAAATTTCAATCCAAAAAAACATCTTAACATTGATTGACAAAAAGATTTTAACTTTACAAAATAATTTGGGAGAGAAATGTTAATATTATTATTGTTTTTGGACAATTCTTTGGTAATATTAATTGAAAAAGGTTTTATTCTTTTCGAACACTATATGTTATGTTTTTTTTGACATTATACAAAAATAAAAATAAAAAGGAAACCATATGTTTTGGTTTCCTAAGTTAACTAGTACTCCGTAAATACTGTTCGATTGAAAGATTACACTAATATCTTTTGTTTCCTAAGTTAACCATATCTTTTGGTTTCCTAAGATACCATTGATTACAAAAGATATCTTTCGATCATCTATTATCTGATTTATCTCTTTAAATACTACTCCCTAAAACGGAGTAAAACTGTAGCAGAGTTCTTCGCGATTAAATCCTCTCGCTGCGTTATCATCGACCGTGTAATCGGAAGATATCTTTTGGCTACAATGGTGACAAAAAATACTGCTGATTTGGGGAGGAGCGGAGGAGTTTACATGCCTCTTTTCAAGTTGGCTAGGATGATGGAGGATGAAGAGGACAAAAGCTCAGTGGAATACCAAAAGATCACGTGGGATGCTCTTAGGAAGAGTATAAATGGGTTGGTTAATAAAGTTAATGCAACAAATATCAAGAACATCATTCCAGAACTTTTTGCTGAGAATCTGATTCGTGGAAGGGGCCTGTTTTGCCGCTCTTGTATCAAGTCCCAGATGGCTTCTCCTGGTTTTACTGATGTTTTTGCAGCACTGGCTGCTATTGTTAACACCAAGTTCCCAGAGGTTGGAAATCTTCTTCTGAGGAGGATTATTTTGCAGCTTCAGAGAGCCTACAAACGCAATGATAAGCCCCAATTGTTGGCAGCTGTTAAATTCGTTGCCCATCTTGTGAACCAGCAAGTAGTTCATGAGCTGATTGCCCTTGAACTTGTTGCTGTTTTGCTTGAAAATCCCTCAGATGACAGTGTTGAAGTTGCAGTTGGTTTTGTTACTGAGTGTGGGTCTATTCTCCAAGACTTGACTCCACATGGATTGTATGGTATTTTCGAGCGGTTCCGTGGGATACTTCATGAAGGAGAGATCGATAAAAGAGTCCAGTTCTTGATTGAAGGCCTCTTTGCAATACGCAAATCAAAGTTTCAGGGTTATCCCGCTGTTCGCCCTGAGCTCGATTTAGTAGAGCAGGAGGATCAGATCACCCATGAAATATCTCTTCTGGATACTGTAGAAGATGAAGATGTACTGAATATTTTCAAGCCAGATCCCAATTACTTGGAAAACGAAAAGAAGTATGAAGATTTGGAAAAGGCAATACTGGGTGATGAATCTAAGGAAGAAGGGGATTCTGATGCTGAGTCTGTGGTTGAAGACGAAGAGGATGAAGTGGAAGATGATGAGGAACGAATGAGAATAACTGATGAGACGGGAACAAACTTAGTCAATCTTCGAAGAACCATCTATCTGACTATTATGTCGAGTGTGGGCTTCGAGGAAGCAGGCCATAAACTCTTGATGCTTAAACTTGAGCCTGGTCAAGAGATGGAATTATGCATAATGATTCTAGAGTGCTGCAGCCAGGAGAGAAACTACCGCCCTTTCTATGGGTTTTTGGCTCAACGTTTTTGTATGATCAACAAGATTTACCAGGAGAACTTTGAAAAGTGCTTTGTGCAACAGTACTCAACGGTTCATCGGTTGGAAACCAATAAACTGATAAATGTTGCACAGTTCTTTGCCCACTTGCTTGAAACTAATGCATTGCCTTGGCATGTTCTGTCTTACATTCGACTCTCCGAAGAAGATACCACCTCCTCTTCCCGCATCTTCATCAAAAATCTCTTCCTGGAATTATCTGAACGTCTTGGGATCCGGCTTTTGAATGAACGCCTGAATGATCCAACCATGCAAGAGTCGTTTAACTCTATTTTCCCAAAGGACAACCTGAAGAATGTAAGGTTTGCAATTAATTTTTTCACCATCATCGGCCTGGGTGGGATCACTGAGAACCTCCGGAAATATCTGAAGATTATGCAAGGCCTCATCAAGCAGAAGCAACAGAAGCACACCACCCCTGAGGAAGAGGAGACTTCACGAAGAAAAAGGGGGAGGCATTGATCTGCCCAATTGTATCGTTTTAAACTTTGTTCACTTTTTAAACATTTTTCCTAAGTGACTTTGTCCTATAAATTGATTTTCAGATGAATAAAATCATTCTCAATTTGTTTTAAATAGTGAAATTGCGATTCAGTCACGAGCTTTAGATACACTTTGATGAATGGAATCAATTATGTAAATTGTGTTAGTCATAATGTCATCTTCAACTTCTGATGCATCGTTATCAACTTTTCTCAAGTTTGAATACTTATATGACTATGAATTCACAAGCCCTTTCACTATCTGTTGAGAACTTCCTCTAGTGTGTATGCCTATTCACATAAGATAAGCATATTACATATAAAATCAAATACTACGTATTATAAGGGATTTAAGTAATAACCAGATCTTCATCCGCTATGTTTTACAGGACACAAGTGGATCAAAAAGCGTGTTCTCTGTTTCTCACGCATTATCCGACCCAAAAAGAAAAAAGAGAAGGTATACTATTTGATATACAATTAAGGGGAACATGCTTTTCTGGCATGACATTTTCTTGTTCTTTAACTGTATCCCACTGGAATCATCATGTGCGGCTTATTTAATTTACTTTTGTAACAGGAAGAGGCAGATCTTAAACAGTTAGAAGAATAACAATTGTAGAAAGAAAATAGTATTGCAGCTAAAGAAAACTCAAGCTCTTCACATTCACAGAAAGATTTAGCATTGCATTGGTTTTAGCATTGGGTTTGAATTTCATGTAGTTCAGTTTATTCACAGCGTTGTGATCAACTTAGAACAAACACAAATATTCAGAACCATCAATATTGCTCCAATCATCATCAGCAAAACTAGTTTATAATCATAAAAACAGCCATATCCATTAGTTGGTGAAATATCATAGGCTAATCAATCATTATGCTGTCAGAGGTATATCATAGAAACTTGCAAATGCAATTGTTGAACTGTTGGATCTTATGGTGCTTCTTAGTTTGATTATTTGTAAGGGTGATGATGACTCTGGCACTGAATCGTTGAACTTTAATCCTTAGCAGAACTTGGAGATAATTTAGTTGGCAATATTTTTGTTTGAGATAAAGTTTTCACTTCTCAATGTAGTTTTCAGATAAACTGAACAATAAGATTCACTGTCAAATAAAGAGAGAGAGTGTCTAGAACTCGCCTTTATACCTCAAAAACCTGAAAGTTATAACAACTATGAATCAAAATACACGATAAATTATAGATACAAGCATAACGTTTCACATGAAATGACCATGTATTTAAGACAACAAATAAAGAATGATAATCTAGCACATAACTTTTAACTCTGTCTAAATAATGAGAAAAGAATAGGAAAATGTTAAGGTGCAATCACGTTTCAGCTTGTTTTGGTGCATTTCACAGTTGGCCTCATCTTATTCGTCACTAAGTCCTTATCCTAACAACTTATTTACATTTTTTGTTTCGATGGCAAAGAAACCAGAGAAGCTAAAGGATCTCCCATCCTCCAGCAGTCCAGCTTTTCAGATTGAAAGAAAACAAACTAGAGAAATGAAAGGATCTTCCATGGGGCTAAAAAATGGAGCCTAAATACTTGTCTGGTTTTGCAGGGGAGGGAGGGTTGATTATATTTTACTAATTTGTGTCTATTTTTTATTAGCCAGTGTTCGATTTTAAAGAACTACATGCTTATAAAGGAATAAGCTTTTATCTTCCCTTTATATGCAATCATATTCCCTTCTATATAGTTTCTTTTTTTTTAAGGAATAAGCTTAATTATACTTTTTATGGGAAGTGATTCATGTTTGATAGAAGAAAAAATATGCAAGTATATTGCAATCACCTTTGAGTAGAATGGTGAAGTGCTTCAATTTTTTTAAAACAAATTAATAGTAAAGTAAAACAGCTAGTTTTAGGCACTAAGTTAATTGTGGAGCTCTTGCTTTCGTTTGCTACTAAATTTACTGGCGTTAGTTGCATTTTCATGTTTGAGTCTGCTTGTGCAAAGCCGCTGAAGGATCAAGGAATCGCTTCTACAGTTTTTTGTGTTTTTTCTTTGTATTTATAGCTTTGAAAATGGTGGTTTGGGATATCAAATTTGAATGTGTACACAAATAGTTTTTAGGCAAAAAAATTAAAAACCAGGCCTAGCTTCTCTCTCAGTGAGTATCAAGTCTCCTGCAGCAATAGTAAGTACATGGATATGATACAAAACTCAATTGAAGTGAAGCAAACTGTAAGCAAAATAGTATCATATGGATACAGGTGTAAAGAAGCATCACACAAAGAGGTCAAGATCTTTCGGTTCAAGTGTATTTAGTGTGCAAATTAGAGATAAGTTTAAATGATCTATTTTATCTTTAAGTTCAAAATGTTGGACTGATTCCTCTAAATCTTCAAAGAACTTCTAATATTATAATACACGCGCCAATAAAAATGAACCATACAACATTACAAAAAGTGACAATAGGAGAATCTAAAGTGAAGACAGTGAGATTTAAGTTTATATCCTTTTGTATAGACTTTAATATCATTTAAATATGCTACATATATTCAGGAAAACAAGTCAATAGCTGCTTATGTCAACTGGGATGTGAGGTTCAAGGATTTGAAAGGTGTTAGTTTTCTGTATTTCATAATGAAAGTTGTTTCGTTTTCTCCTTTATATGAATCCCTCACAGTATTTTATGTTTTGTGTTGCAGGCTCATCATTTCTTAAAGAATCTCTGTGAGGAAAAAAAAGAAGTTTCAGTGTGTTTGCAAAGATGTGGATCTTGAAGTACTATTTCCGCGTCTCCCTGACCAAATCCCCCCACATTAGGATTATTCGTTAATGGTTGATCAAATTTGATATCTTCCCCTTCTGAAACAAGAAGTTCTGGTCCAGGAGGGATTATCCAACTCGCAGCTGTTGATGTTTATATCGAGCATTAAAGGCCGCACTTTTACCCTTGAGGTTCATCGGTTTTCATTTCTATCATTTTCCTACATGGGGCGGGATGTGTCTTGAATCTGAAAGTTCCACTTGTTAATCTTTCTAAACTTACAGTTTAATAATTCAATGTTGCATGGATTCACTCTTATCTTATACTCCCTCCGTCCCAGAAAATTCTTCCAAGTTTGACTTGGATCGGAGTTTAAGAAAGTGGGAATAATGTGGAAATGTGTGGTTGTAGTTATGTAAGAAAAAAGTGAAATGAATGTGAGCCACACAAATAATCAAAAAGGTGAAGTTGGAAGAATTTTCTGGGACGTCCCAAAAAGGAAAGTTGGAAGAATTTTCTGGGACGGAGGGAGTACTACGTATTAAATAATTTACTGGGTTCTTATTAATCAAGTGATGTAATTTAGTAGCCAGATAAAGAAGTGGAAGATTGATGTTGCGGAGTTAGCAAAATATATGGGCTGCAGAATGTGTGGAAACTTGAGCCACTCTGCAATGGTTTGAAATATATTTTATGGAGGCTATCCAGGTTTCTGAAGAATGAAGAATCTGATGGATTGTTTGTCTTCAGAAATATATACGGAGTACTTCTTTATCTTTCAAATCTACTTCTGAAGCTAGGTGCCAATGGCTATAGGTGATGCCAATGTGCTTCTTAGGATAGCTTTTCAACTCTTTGGTCATTTCCAAATAGGTAACCATAGTTGGTCATAATTGCTGCCCATGCCTGTAGCTATTCTAATGTGGTTGATTCAGATTAGCAATTTTGGTCTATATCTAATATGTTTATTTGTTAACAAACGCTTTACGATCCTGTGGGTGACTAAAAAAGATGATTTGCTTTTTGCCTCACGTATGCTTCTAGATGGGAGATCAAGAAGGCAAGAAGAATGTGGGAAGATTAGTTGGATGACACAAGCTTTCAGCCACATTATCCTTATGGTGTTACTTGTATGAAGGATCAAGGAATTGCAAGTATAATCAATAGGAAAGACAGTCAGAGTTATACTTACGGAACTCTTATTTATGTTAATGGAATCAAACAAATTCATTCTGGTCTTTGGTCATTGATTCATTCCATAAATTACTTTTCTAGGATAACACATGTAGCTGCTAGTCACTGGTGTTAACTTACTGTTGGAAATATGATGGAAAAATATATATTTTAGGGGGGCTCATTTATGAGTCCTGAGGATAAATGTATAGAGTATGATTTGGAAATGATTTATTATACATCAAAGTACAACTTTCATGATTGGATTATAATTAATAAAATAATCCATAGTTGTAAAGGTGGTAAAGTGATGTTTTAATATGATAATTTTTTTGTCGCTTATAAGTAAAAGCTACCGTTGTAAATTATTTTATATGATAAGGAACATTGTTCAAGTATCATTTAAAATGTATCAAGGAATTGCTTGCGTTTTGACAAAAATTATGACTTGCTGAATCTGAATAGTTTTATTTCAAATCATAAAATAAAACGTGCAAAGCAGTATTCAATTTGGAATTCAAAATTGAAATACGATGCTTGGTCCTGCGTTACATCCATACATATCTTAATGGTGGTTAATGTAGAGGTTTGGATGAGCATTAAAGTGGTTTTCCGTTTCATGCTTTGAAATTCTGATTTCCGTTGAACTATTATTCCCCTACCTCCTTATTCCGTTAGATGAAGTATAAAGGCCACTTCTGCATATTGCTTTGTGGAGAGCTCTTACACACAAAAGAATAGAAAACATCCTTTCTCTATCATTTTATAGGTAAATCATTTTTTGATTTGAGTGGGTCTTTACTCCACTAGTTTGTCCATTCCAAGAGTACGTATAATTTATATATTATACTTTCATAAGAGTTCAAGTCAACTCTATTTCTTGGCAAATTTGGAAACGGTCGAAGGTTTCAGTCAAGGTAGCTACGAGTCTGAAACGTGGTAGGATTATCCTGGGAGCGAGCTAGCCAGACCCGTCCGAATAGCTATCGGGATACGGGGGGCTATCTTTCTTCAAGGCCAGTCCGTTTTAACGGGCGATCCTGCGATAAGTTTTCTTATCCTTACTTTTTAATTATTTTAATTTATACTAATTATTATTATTTTCTTTTCTTGCATTTGGCGGTTTGTCTGGTGATTTGTTTAAACTCGGGATTTTTATCCGGTTAAACTCGCAATTTTAATATCAATATATCTAACAATCTTGAAGAAAGATATTATTTCTCGAGTTTTGGAAAATCCAAAAATGGCAAACTTGGAAAATGCTGTTAACAATGAAACTGTTGGTTTAGAGCATGTTTTTGTCGCCCCTGAAAATGATAATTCTGTGTCTGTCACTAATTCACAAGGCACACCTGAATATATTGCTACGGGCTCGCACAGGGTGGATTTAACCGGGATGCCCGAAAAATTTTCTGGGCATTTTTTCAAGCGTTGGCAACAACGCATGAAAATTTGGTTAATCACCAAGGGCTTGCTTTCAGTGATTATGACGGTGTGTCCTCCGGTTGTCGAATCTGATCCCAAAAGTCTTGAACGTCATGGACTTTGGCTTGAGAGGGACGAAATTGCAAAAGGCATGATTCTCATGGGTTTATCCGACATGTTATTTGATGTCTATTGTACCCTCCATGGGACGGCCAAAGACCTTTGGGATGAGTTAGATAGAAAATATAATACTGATGACCATGGTCTTGAAAAATATATTGTTTCTAAATTCCTACGATTTGACATGAAAGAAGGAAAATCGGTTTTAGAACAGACACAAGAATTTGAGCTTATCTTACATTCTCTTCGTGAAGCGGACATGGAATTGCCTGAAAAATTTAAAGTGATGGCGGTCACAGAAAAATTTCCCAAATCATGGGAAGATTTTGGTATGACTTTAAAACATAAAATGAAAAAGATCACTTGGAAATCTTTGATGCATTCCATTACGGTTGAGGAGGAACATAAGAAAGCGGGTTATATTGCGCCTGTTGAATTTCAACCGAAGGCTCATGTTATAACTGGGGGAAAGCAAGCACATAACTCTAAAAATAAGCAACCATCATCTTTTAAACCAATAAAGGCCAAACTAAAAATTGCAAAGAAACCAAAGGCAAACCGACCATGCTGGAATTGTGGACAGATGGGGCATTGGGCCAAATTGTGTCCTAATAAAAAGGCCAAGGCTCAATCTGGGGGACCTCAAGTCAACATGGTGACTGGAGGGACTAGTTCTAATGGGTACGTTTCTATTAATCCTCAAATTTTCACTATTTATAATTCCAATGAGTGGCTAATAGATACGGGAGCGAATGTGTATGTATGTGCTGATAAATCGATCTTTGTTTCTTATCAGCCTGCGGTTGGAAGAACAGTGACGATGAGGAACACAAGTGCTGCAAGTGTGCAAGGAATTGGAAAAGTAGAAATTAAATTTCCTTCGGGAAAAATTCTTTCTTTGCATGGAGTGCATCACGTTCCCGAAATTAGAAGGAACATCGTTAGTGGTTCCATTCTAGTTAGGGAGGGTTATGAGTTGTCTTTTAAATTAAATAAAGTTGTAATTTTATTTGGTGGAACTTTTATTGGGAAGAATTACTTGTCTGATGGACTTTTTAAAGTTATGGTTGATTATTTAGAATTAAATTATGTATCTGAGAATTGTGATTCTTCAACTTTATGGCATTATCGTTTGGGTCACGTTAATTTAGATTCTGTGAAAATAATGATGAATTTAAATTTAATTCCTAAGCACTCTATTGATAAAACTAAGAAATGTATGGTATGTGCTACTACTAAACAAGTAAGAAAACCATATCATTCAATTGATAGAAATTCAGAATTACTTGATTTAGTTCATACCGACATTTGTGAGTTTAATGGAGTGCTTACACGTGATAAGAAAAAATACTTTATCACTTTTATTGACGATTATTCTAAATACTGTTATGTGTATCTACTTAAGGGTAAAGATGAAGCTCTTGAAAAATTCTTAATTTTTAAGAATGAAATAGAGAATCAAACTGGCAAGAAAATTAAGAGGTTAAGGTCTGATAGGGGAGGAGAGTATACTTCAAATTTAGTTGTACTGGAATGCCAAAAATATGGTATAGTACATGAGGAAACACCTCCTTATTCACCACAATCAAATGGAGTAGCTGAACGGAAAAATAGAACTTTTAAAGATATGATTAATAGTTTATTAGAGAATTGTGGATTACCTAAATTTATGTGGGGGGAAGCCTTGAATACGGCATGCCATATTTTGAATAGGATTCCCATGAGGCATAAAGATAAGTGTCCATTTGAACTCTTGACAGGCAGAAAACCAAGTTTGAAATATTTTAAGGTGTGGGGCTGTCTTGCAAAAGTATTAGTCCCTGAACATAAAAGAAAGAAACTTGGGCCTAAAACTGTTGATGCTATTTTTATTGGTTATGTTGAACATTCTTATGCAATAAGATTTTTGGTTATTAAATCTGAAATTTCTGGCATAGATGTCAATACTATTGTAGAATTTCGTGATGCTACTTTCTTTGAAGATGTTTTTCCAATGAAAACGGGTGTGCCCCAAAATACTTCTTTTGAAAATCAAGAAACTACATTTAATTCAATTCCTGATCAAGTGGGAAAATGACAAATGTGGGGGTAGAATCTGGTAGTTCTAGTCATATTGATTTTGAATCAAATGGTCTAGATGAACCGAGAAGGAGCAAACGAGCTAGAATCACTAAGGATTTTGGAAGTGATTTTATCACTTACAATATTGAGGGTGATCCAATTTCCTTTAGAGATGCAATGGCCACGTCTGAGGCCATGTATTGGAAGGATGCCATTAAAAGTGAAATGGACTCCATTGTTCAAAATGGAACATGGGAGCTTGTTGATCTTCCTCCCGGATGTACTACTATTGGATGTAAATGGATTTTTAAAAAGAAGCTAAAACCAGATGGAACCATTGATAAATATAAGGCCAGATTAGTTGCTAAGGGTTATAAACAAAAAGAAGGTATTGATTTTTTCGATACATATGCTCCAGTTGCAAGAATGACCACAATAAGAATGCTTATAGCATTGGCCTCCGTATATGGTCTTAAAATTCATCAAATGGATGTTAAGACAACTTTTCTTCATGGTGACCTTGAAGAAGAAATTTATATGGATCAGCCTGAGGGATTTGTGGCAAAAGGCAATGAGAGAAAAGTTTATAAATTAGTCAAGTCTTTATATGGACTTAAGCAAGCCCCTAAGCAATGGAACGAAAAATTTGATAAAATAATTTCTTCGTTTGGATTTACTCTTATAGATGCTGATCAAAGTGTTTATTATAAATGTAAAGGTGATATAAGTATTATTTTATGCCTATATGTTGATGATATATTATTATTTGGCACTAATGATAATATTATTTTTGAGACTAAGTCATTTTTGAAAACAAAGTTTGGAATGAAGGATATGGGGGTGGCGGAAGTAATTCTTGGGCTAAAGTTGACTAGATCAACCAAAGGCATTTCTATTTCTCAGTCTCATTATATTGAAAAATTAATTGAGAAATTTGGATTTAAAAATAGTAGAATTGCTCAAACACCCTATGATCCTTCTGTAGCTTTGTATAAAAATGAAAGTGGTGTTCCTGTGTCTCAATTAAAATATTCTCAGATGATTGGTAGCTTGGGTTACTTAGCTAACTGTACTAGACCTGATATTGCATTTTCAGTGTCTAAACTTAGTCGGTACACATGCTGTCCAAACAGAACTCATTGGGAGGCTTTAGATAGAGTATTCAGATACTTGAAAGGAACTATTTCCTTGGGTTTGCATTATGGTAAATATCCTCCTGTTCTTGAAGGATATAGTGATGCAAGCTGGATAGCTAAAAACTCTGGGAGTTATGGGTGTACCGGGTATGTGTTTACGTTTGGAGGTGGGGCTGTTGCTTGGAAGTCCACCAAACAAACTGTACTTTCTCGGTCTACTTTTGAGGTTGAATTATGTGTGTTGGATACTACAGGAATTATGGCTGAATGGTTTAAGGGACTAATGTCTGAGTTACCTATATTCAGCAAGCCAATTCCACCTATTTGTTTGCATTGTGATAGTATGAGTACAATTGCAAAAATTAGGAGTACCAAGTATATATAATCAAAAGACTAGGAGACACATTCAAGTTAGATTAAAAACTATAAGGAAATTTGTGTCTCAGGGGGTGTTTGCTGTTGATTTTGTTGGATCCAAAGATAATATAGCG